AAATGTTTTAAATTAGCCAGGCATGGTGGTGCGCACCTGTAGTCCCAGCTACTCAGGAGGCTGAGGCAAGAGGATTGCCTGAGCCCAGGAGGTCGAGGTTTCGGTAAGCCATGATCATACCACTGTGCTCCAGCCTGGGCAACAGAGTGAGATATCAACTCAAAAAAAAAAAAAAATAAATAAAAGAAAAGAAAGAAAAAGGAAAGGAAAGGAAAAAAAGCTAAGTCAGAGCTCCAAACCATGGTCTCATCCCAAGAAGACTCTAACCTCAACTTCCACTCACACCTCAATGCATCAGATGCTGACTCACAACCACTTATAAACCTAGGAAGCCACTTGTGGCCAGCAGAGCTGGCCCAGCTGCAGGTCCCATTATCCTGTCTAGGGACACTGTCTCCAAAGGCAGCTTGGTCAGTTCTTGAGTAAGTCTCCCTCCTACTCCCCTTTTGCCCACTCCTTTGGAGAAGCCCAGGAGGTCAGGGTAGTTTGGAAAGGAGGGAGGGACAAAAACCTATGTGACATGGAGGGCCCTAAGACCAGGAGGAAGAGGACAGCTGTAGAGATGCTGGCTAGTCAGCTTCTTCCTTAGGGTAACAAGTGCCCAGGTTTCTCCTTTCCATTTCCAGAGACCCAGCCCCCCACCCCCATTCCTCCTCGGAATGTGAGAAGGCTGCTGTGCCCTGAGTAGGACTGACACATGTCATCTGATCCCAAGGGAGCCTCCTGATGCAAGACTGCTGGGGATTTCTGGAGGTAGCAACAAGGTCCAAGGTTCCTTCACTCCCTCTTCTTGAAACGGGAGGGTTGGGGCCAAGACTGCCTCCACCAGCGGGAAGGATTGAGGAGGAGCAGCTATGGCCTCGGAGGACACCCAGGGGCCAAGGGAGGGTCTGCAAGTGGCAGACAAGGTCTCTCCTCCCAGGCTGGAGATGCGAGGGTCTGGAGGGGGGTGGTGGCATGGGGAGATGAGAAACCAGGGGTCTTCTAGGCCCCCTCTGCATCCCTTCTACACCCTGGACAGCCATCCTGCCCGGCAAAGGTGGGGGTGAAGAAAGAGGGGAGAGCGTGAGGGGGACAGCCAGCCATGTACCTCCAGCCATGTACCTCCCTGAGCCGCATTCTTTCCCTGTATCTGGAAATAACTGAGGTAAGTGCTGGTATCCTCAGGCCCCTCTGCAAATATCACTTCTCTTCCCCTGACCCAAACCTGACTCCGCCTGCCAGAGGAACTGGATGGACTGGGTATGAGAGAGAGGGGGCAGCTGAGTGTGAAAAGGGAGCTATAGGGGAGAAATGCCCTGGGACTGCTGTGGACAGATTGAGGTGGAAGTGCCAGGAGGTGGGAAATTCAGCCCCCAAGCAGGGAGCCAGGTGGGTGCCGATCATTCATTCATTTAGCGCATGCGTGTGTCAGGCTCAGATCTAGATGCTGGGGACAGCACGGGGATGGACAGACAAGCCTTGCTCTCCCTCAGCAGATAGCAAATGACCAAGCTCACTACTGCAGAGATGCCACAGGTTTATTGGGAGCCTCAAGATAGATTTGAAACGACTTCAGGTTTCTGAGCACTGCCCTCTGTGGCGCTGATGGGAGACCCCTTTCCCACTGGAAGGGGCTGTTCCTGTCCCAATATCTGGTCAGATTGGAAGACTTCTCCATCCCCAGGCTAGAATCTCCTCCTTCTGGCCATTGCCCATGGAAAGTCCAGTCTCTCACTTGACTCTTCTCCCACCCCCAGCTCACCTGAGCTTCAAAAGTTCTAGGTGAGGGTGGGATGGGGGTTGAGTCTCTCTCTTTTATCTCCCAGTTCCTCTGGTGTTAGGGTAGGGAGAGAGGAAGAGATACTGGACTTCTGCCTGTGCTGGCCAGAGGGTCCCAGAACCACAGCTGCTGCCCTACTGCTGCTTAGAGCCCAGACAAGCAGTGCCAACAGTCCAAGCTGCCTGCTGATGGAAGGCTCACTCGGTGCTTCCCTGAGCACAAGGCCCAGTGCTCAGCCAGGGCCTGCAATGGGTTCAATGCTCTGCCGTCACTATCTTGAAATTCGAAATGACCGTAGAACAGGAGCCCTGAATCTTCATTTTGCAGTGGGACCCCGGCAAATTTTGTAGCCAGTCCTGTCTGTCATAAATGTATGTCATAGCAATGTGCAGCTGGTGGTGTCATACCCCGCTGCACTGTGCCCTCATGCTTCAGGGTCTCCCAAAGCCTGAAGTAACTGGACTCATTCAAACTCAGGGCCAACTCTCAGGCCTGTGGGCATACTTGGGATCACCCTCTGCAGATTCTTAGGGTTAGGAACCTCAGAGAAGACGTGGGACCCCCTCCCCACTCAGCAGTCCTCACCACACTATCACTCCAGGAGGCCTTGGCTGGTCATTGAGTCCTACTGCTAAGCTGACTTCCAACTGAGCGCTACAATGAAAGCCTGTCACTCTTGCCAGCTCCCTTGATTCCTGATCAAGGAATTCCTTGATTGTTCCTGGGACCCCACCCTTCCTTTCCAGCATGGCTGGGGAATTGAGGGGAAATGCTGTGTACCCCAAGGCTTTCTCTCCCCATTCTATTTTTCTGTTCACTTAGAGAAGGACTGCATGGATTCTGACAGGCACTGGGCATCGAACCACAAATGGGGGAGGTCTGGGGCTGTCTACTGGTGCCCACCAAACTAGATTGTGAGAGACTGAGCCTCTTATGACAGGCAAGAACCCCCTTCAACATTGAAATGATTACTCTGAAGAAAATACAAAGGGTCATGTGGTAGAGAATGAGAGGAGCTGCAGGGACAGTTGGCGGAAGGCCACTCCCTCACACTTCGATGGGTGAAGCAGACAAGGAACAAGTGCACATGTGAAAAACAATAAATGCAACTATTTCATGAAGCATGGATTTTTGATGTGGGTCCCAAGAGGTGACCTGTGGAAGTGGACGAAACTGAGCCAGACCTGGGGGCAGGTATGTACAGAGGAGAGAAGTGGACTTATGACCCAGCCATGGGAATAGGAAGTGAGCAGAGGAGCCAGAGAATAGTGGGATTGGGTTGAGCAGAATTGCAATCCATGCTGTAAGGTCTCTCACTTGTCTTTGGCGGTGGCTGGGCTCTCACCTGAGGTGAGTTGGGGCAGAAGAAATAGTAAATAGAGATAGCAGCTCCTGGTCTTGTTGCTCCTCATGCTTCCCTCCCCGAAGGCCAGTGGAAGCAGCAGGGAGGCGGGGAGGCCAACAGAAAGGCTCTGTGCTAGCTTGCTATGGCCTGGCCTGCGTGGCTTGGCAGGATCCAAGCAGCTGAGGGACTCAGGGCAGGGCACACCCTCTCTGAGGAATTCTCAAGAGAAGTGTTCATAGAGATTCTTGGGGGACTTGCTGCAGGCCTCTATCCCCTCAGCGTGGATACAAAATCCTGGGGGACAGATGCTCAAGGGATAGATTGGAGCCATCAGTCTCTCTATCCAGAGGCCTGTGAGTCTTTCCCACCCCCTTCTCTGTTCTCCATGTCCCTTGCCTTGATGGCTCTTACTTGGAACCACAGATAATCTTGCTTTGGACACTTCCTCCATCTACATTTCCAATTCAAGCTGTGTGGAGCTAACACCCTCTCTGCCAAGAATCTGGAGATCCTGGGTAAAAAGATATTCTGCAAGATGGATGGATATCTGGTGAATACGCGTCACTTCCAGTGTCCTGAGATTCACTCACAACAATCCACACACGGAAAATATGTCCCCTGCATTCAGCTGGCTTTCCAGGGGAAAGGCACTCGGCTCAAGTATTTGCTGATGCCTGTGATATCAGGACTCCCATCCAAGAGGCCCTGAGGTCACCAGCATGAGTTGGGGTGCCAGCGTATATTTTTCGGCCCCGAGGCATTCTGCAAGGCAGAAGGGCACCACCCTGCCCCAGGCAGTAACTCGATCCCAGGAGAGCTGCCCACTTGCGGCCCTGCCCGTGAGACTCCCAAAGACTCCTTCCTGCCAGATCAGGGTCACAGCAATAGAGAACAATGCTGGACAGGCCGAGCGGGCACCGTGCAGGGACAGGGGGTCTGTGAGAGCGTCAGAAGCTGCTAGGGCCTGTCCTCCCCAAACTGGGCCACTGTGGGCCTTTCATCTCCCGCCTTCCCTTCTGCGCCACTCCCGCGCGGCTGCCT